TGTAAACAAAACAGAGTGGGCTCAAAAGAATAAAAAGTGATTGCCCGCTGGAAGTTAAAATTAATTCAGTCTTCAGTTGGGAGTTGTTGGATTTCATTTCTGATACATTTGGTTTTTGGGGTGTTAGTGTGAATTTTAGTCCTTTACATAGGATGTCTATATATGTGTCAATGTTTTTGCGAAAGGTTGATTACTTCTGTTTTCTCGTGGTTGTAGGCCATATACTTCTGGTTGCTCTCTAAAAAAATGCTTATTGAAGTGAGATTCCTCCATAGTGTTTCTAATGTCGATATTTTTTATGTTGTTGTATTTGTGATTATTATGTATTTTGGGTTTTTAGTGTTGGTCTGTCCCTAGTTTGTTATGCAATGGCTTTGGTTCAGTCTGGGGTTATCTCTGTAGTTCCGATTTTGTGGCCTGTTTTCTCTGAAGTTATAGTTTCTAGTTGTTGCTCTTTTATATGTATTTGCGATAGTTGTTTTCTGGAATGGTACTGGCTTTTTCCAGCATTGTTTATTTGCATCGGAGGTTTGTATATATATATATATATATATATATATATATATATATATATAATATATATATATATATATATATATAAAAAGTAATGATATTTATTTTTAAATTCTGATATATAAAGATTTCCCAAGAGCTCCAGAAAGTTATAAACTCAAAAGAAAAAGAAAATATTGTATTTATTGAATGATGCTAGCAGAATGTTGGAAACTGCGGCCGTTTTTGAACAAAGATCAAAGGACATTCAAAAATCAAATAGAAAACATTGGCAATGTAATAACAATAAAAAAAATATCTGTGAGAATATCACAAAAGATATTTGAGAAAAATGAAAAAGGTAATAAGTAAGAAATGTGAATTGTTCTGCAAGAAAATATTTGATAAATTTGTAAGGAAAACAGTAATTATTCAGAATGGCGACTAACATTCTGCTAATACTGAGTCAAAGAACAGAATTCGGAACAAAGATTTTTTTACAACACTACCGCGAATAAAAAAGAAAACAAATTGTATACACAATAAATACCAACGGGGAAAAAAAAACCTTTTCGTTAATCAGTTCACTCAAAGCAAGGCGATAATGTCACTAAGACGCAAGGGAGGAGACAAGATCCATATTGAGAGTGACGACAAACATTCTGTTAACCTTGAGCCAGAGAAAAGAATTCGGAAGAAAGTTTTTTTAAATAACAATACTAAGAACAATGAAAAAGAAAACGTTGTATATACCGTAAATAACAACGGAATTTCTTTTTAATTTAATTCACCTGAGACAAGGCGATAATGCCACTAAGACGCAAGGACCCGTCATGTCACGCCCATTGTAACGAACCACTCTCATTCTTTTCGTATTCCTTTGGCGAGATGTATGTTCCACACGAGCAGTGTCTTTTTTTTTTTCTGACGAACCGCCGCCTTATGAAACTGACTCCCAAGAGGATGCTTCCAAAATCACTGCAATCTTAACATGTTCAAGTTACGGGTTCACCGTTATGTTCCCTACATATCACTATAGACTGTACGTCTTACTCCGTAACCCTCTACCTTGAGTGGCTCTTGGGCTTTGTACAGGGTGAACGTCATCGTAAAAAAAAAAAAAAAATTCCGCCGAATTCAAACTAACTCAAGTGAAACTAATTTTCTTTTTATCCGAGAAAGCAGGGACGGATGTTATTTCGATATTTTCTTAGAGCTCTGATTTTTTGGTAATTGTTTGTGATTTCACCTGACATATGTATGGGTAGGCCACAAATACCGCCACATATCGATATAAGTTTATATCGATATGTTTGACAATGTCTTCAATCATGGATGTATGCTTTACAATGTTTAAAGCAGTTTAAACCATGCGACCAGACTTAGCCGTTATTTTAAGGGATTTATTCATTGCTTGCGTAGGGCTGTTGTTCGAAAAAGGTGATGGCTTACTAATAATTTGTGATTGTTGATCAGTTATAGCTTGCCAGTTTCCACTGGGTAATATCGTTGGTTTGGGGATTTGGTGACATCGTGGTTGTGAGTTCAATACCTGGTTTAGGCAGTGCGTACTTTCACTAAGTGGAAACGAGCTAGCAATAACTGAAATAAAAAATAAGAACTAGACGATATCTCTTGACATTGAACAGTTGAATGAGAACAGTATAATTAAATAAAGGGTTCAGTTCAGAATTCCCTGTAGATTATCCAGATTGATATACATCTGATGAAAGCCGGGGAGCACAACGGCCAAAACGTTGTGATAACAACAAACATGAAGACAATATTCCGAAAAAAAATTGTGTAAATATTATTAAATTTTGCTAAAAACTATTCCGTGTGTATTGTTGCTTTCACGTAATCCAGTTTAAAAAAGAAACAAAAGAAATCTTGTGTCATTCCAAGGTTGATTCAAAGATTTTCTCCATATTTCACGATCTTGCTTCTATTTTCTGTTTGTAATTTGTCTCATCAAGGCAATAATCTGTGTCTAAGAGATAGTGGTATTGTACTTACGTCAGCTCTTGTATCGACAAGAAATTCGTATCCAATTTTCTTGTTGGTGAAGTAGAGGAGACGTCATTGGAGGATCATTTCCAAGAAGAGCTGTCGTCCTTATGGCCTGGAATTGTTTTTTTCCTAGCTCCTTGTCATTAATTGTGCAATGCTTTTCACATTTTCTTGCCTTGATCTTCAAAGTGCCGTTGTAACCGCAAAATTCACGTTGCTATTGATTGAAATCTTGTCTCCATTGAATGAAGCTCCATCGTCTGACGTCACTTTTTTCTTCTGTCACACGTGCATCGTTTTTGTAAAAGGAGTTACACTTGCCCGGTGTATACAATGACTGTACTCGCCTCATATCACCGTTATGTTTGGGATTGCAGTATACCTGTTGGAATGATAATTTTCTTGAATATTACCAGCAATATCTGCTATCATCAATTTACAGTTGAGCTAGCTAGATGTAACCGTAAGTTCTATGCTAACAGTTTCTTCACTCGCACTTTTCGCTTGTGGAACTCCCTTCCTACTCCATGGTTTTCCAGCCAACTTTAATCTGCAAAAATTTAAATGCAATATCAATCGCTATCTACTGTCCTTCTGAGTACTCTTACTCTGTTCTCGTTCCTGTTTCTAACTCTTCCATACCCAATAACCCCTTGCGTCTCAGTGGCTTTACTGCCTTGTTTGCGGTGAATTCGATTCAAAATTTTTTTCAAGGAGCGTGTCTTCTATTAATGAAAGAAAATGGTAATTTTCAAAAAATGTTGTTCTTGGTTGGCGGTTACCATTTTTGACTATATGGATTGAGATTTCACATAGTTCTGCCTTAATGTTTGTGCTGCATAGCCCCCCCCCCCACTGTGCTTAGTAGGTCATGGCGACGGTATCAATTCGATAATAAAGTTGAATTCTTCTCTCCCGGCCAGTGATTGCTAGTCGTTTTGAGTCCAGAGATAAAAGAACTTCAACACAGGGAATATTAACTTAAATATTTATTAATCACGTCGGCGTATACATTTCTAACTATCCAGTGGGATCGTTCTCCCTCCACTGGGGAGCCGTTTCAGACAAGAAATAAAACACATCTACATTCTTTGACAGTTAAGAAACGGCTCACTGAAAACCTTTCTCTATCTATCACGCTGGCACAATCTGCTAAACTATTATTTAACATTTGTAGGGAGGCAAGGTTAAGGTAACCACAAATATTCCATAAACCTTGAGTTTATTAACAGAATTGGAAATACGGTCTTTAGTTTCTAACAATACCAAAAATGAAAGACAAAACAATGTTCTATGGATGGTAGAATCAAATACAAAAATGTACACAAACAGATATTGATAAAACAGTGAAAAATTCCTTTAGAAATGTTTAGATTTCCCAGTTTTACATTTGCCTTTAATTCATTTAAAAAGGTTCTATAAATTCATACACGCAGAAAAGAGATTATATGCTGTTCAGTAAGGCGGGAAGGAATACAGTCAAATAACATTTGGTATGTCACAGTGGGTAGCTGATAGTGCGTGAGGAGAAGTTAGCCGGCTATTTTTGAAAAAGCCGCAAGATCAGTCATTCTTCTGAGGCGAGAGCATCTTCTACTACTGATGTTTTCGGGTTACCGGCTTGCTTTAATTACCGACACCTAGTCTTAAGTGTCTTGAAAATTAAATACGACCAGTTGATTTATCAGTTATTATTATCTGAACAAACACGTATTTTATTATTTACTATATCCGCCAAAAGCAAACCTACTGAAAAGTTAAATAAATCATTTTCACTGAATTTTTTTAAAGCACTAAAGCCACTAAAACGCAAAGATTTCCTGAGTTGTGAAAAAAAAAAGAAAGAAAAAGAAAACATTCTTAAGGAGCGAAAATAATAAAAGAGGAAAAACAAGCAGAGAGTAGATAACGATTGACATTTTTGAAGGTCAAAGTTGGTTGGAAAGCAAGCAGTTTGAAGAGGGTTCCACAGGTGAGAAGTGCGAGAAAAGAAACTGTTAGCATAGAACTTACGCTTGCATCTGGGAATTACAACAGTAAAATGATTAGATCTCTGCCACTCTAGTGCTGCGTAAAAACTCATAAAGTCTAGGCACGACAGTCATCATTCATGTTATGTCAGCAGAAAATGTTAGCCCGAGAAGGCCCAAAGATTCCCTCTCCTTGAGATTATTATCAGCCATGCTGATGGAAGACAGAAAAGGAATGATTAAAAGAAAATAGTTTGGGGTGTTAAAATTAATGAGCTTAATGGTTACTTAAAGCCAGAAAATATTTTTCGATTTTAAGACTTCCTATGTATAAATTTTTGGGAGATAGTAATGGTTTAATGATACAAGTCTTACTAATTAACCCATAGCTGGTGGGAAAAGTGGATTCAAACCTTTCCCAAGAATATTTGCGCATAATTAAATATAACGAACCTAACGAGAATTAGAGCTCGACTCTCCGATTAACAATTCCGAGCCATTATTCATTACAGTACCCGCAAACCTAAGCTTACAGCACCTGGTATTCCCAAGCGGTCACTCACCTAGTTACTGACCAGGCTTAACGATGCTTAACTTCGGTGATTGTACAATGGGAAAACATTTTACTGTTGCTGAACTGTGCCACTACTGAGACAGCAAAATATTTATAACCGTGATTAGATTTGTGTTCTTCGTAAAATAATTTCATTTTTTTTCTTCTTATAATTTTCATTAAAAATTTCTTGAAGACAAAGTAACACTTGAAAAAATGATAGATATCTACTTAAGAAGTCACCCTGAAAAAGTTCCGTCACATCATCGAAGCATTTTAATTTAATAAAGAATCGTCAAACATATGTCATTCAAGGAAACAAACAAGAAAGAACATTGTCTTCATCAACAGAGAAGTTCAAAAAACTCAAATTATAGATGCTTTGAAGTAATTACCAGAAATTGACACTTGCCGGCATCTTAAACTTGATAAGACTCAGTTTTATATTCAAAAGGACAGTTGCAGACAAATTAAATAAATTTGTAAGAAAATGGCGTGAATTAGTTTGTCTTTCAACATAAATAAGAAAAATGACCTACTTTTTATCGTAAATTTAATGCAATAAAATATATTTTCCCCAAATGCGAGCCATATTATATAAACAAATTAACTGTAGGTTAAAATAACTTACAGTCTTAGGTTTGTTGGCGCGACAGTGAAATAATTTAGTTGGCGCGACAGTGAAATAATTTAGTTGGCGGTATAGCCAGGGGCGTTTTGATACACTGATGTAAGAGTGGGTACACAGAAACATGTTGGAGCGAGATCTTTATACTTGAGATACAACTCCAGAATATTAATCTGAAAATTATTTCACCGTATAAATATTTTCATGACACTTAACAGTACGAATATATATATATATATATATATATATATATATATATATATATATATATATATATATATATATATATCAAATCGCTCAGGGTTTCATCATACATGAAACTCAGGGTTGTGCTACCTGTGACGAAAAATGCATATATATATATATATATATATATATATGTGTGTGTGTGTGTGTGTGTGTGTGTGTGTGTGTGTGTGTGTGTGTGTGTGTGTGTGTGTGTGTGTGTGTGTGTGTGAGTTTCATTAAAAACGAACACCAAGGTACTGCGGTTAAGTTTTTATTTAATTTTCTTGTCTTCTTATAATTTCCTTCTTTTCTGGAAATAAATTTCCTCATAGATCACCAAATTAGACTTTTTATTTCTAAGTAACCAATAACAACACTGAACGTAAAGATAAAAAACAATAACATTAACATTTACTATAAAAAATCAAATGCTTGCTAACTATAAACAGGATGTATTTTCTCTTAGAATATTACAAAAAAATATACAACTCCAGTCAACAAAAAGAAGAAAATTAAATTAACTATCGACTATAAAAAAAAATAAACTGCTCATTGTCAACGACAATAACTCACCTGCAAGATTCAAATTACAGAGAAGTAATATTATTTACGAATTCACATGTTCCTTAAGGAACACTGTTGCTAATCAAACCAAATTCATGAATTATTATATTGGATATACTACAGCATGCCTAGAATAAAAACTCACGTTACATCTCTCTAACCATAGCTCAATTAAATCTCATTTAAATACACATGGAGACCTACCAAATTTCCTCAGCAATATAATCGTTGATGTTGCAAATATAATAGCATCATCCACATGTAAAAAAAGATAAAAATAATGGAAACTTTATTAATAAAAAAGAACAAGACAACACTCAAAGACATCAATTATAAACAAGGCCAAAATGTGCTGACCGTATTTGGAAACTAAAAACATTCCTATAACTCTATACCTTTTCAACTTCAAAATGATAATAATCAACTTCAAAATGGACTTATTTTCAAGTAAAAAAATTAATCAACTCCAAAATGTATTAATCAATTTCAAATTGGATCAACTTCAAAATAAGAATAAACAACTTCAAATTGATATATTTTTTTTTGTTAATTGAAAATTATTTTTTCAATTAATTTACCCCATAAGTAAGGAAATTGACTGTTCGTCTTCATTATATAGATGAAGAAAAAAACAAAATGCAAACACCTTAGAGGCCAAGAAAGCATTGGGGGAACCTGCAGTAAAAGTAGGAGGAGAAATCCCGTATGGTTGACCACAGGCCGACAACGCAGTGTCACATATTGGCGTCGCGACCAGAGGACGTCATATTGGCGCTGCGACGCGACCACCGGTGGGTGTCACAACTACTTTCATAGTAATTGTTATGATGAACATTCGGCTGTAGTAGCTAGACCAGTGTTTCTCAACCTATTTAAGCAACGGCACACCTAGGATCAAATGAAAATATCACGGCACACTTAGCAAAATTTTTAAAGGCTGTACATTTAAATGTTATGAAACAAAACCATTGATATTTTTTAAAATACACACACAAATATGATCTTACTTTATTTCAATGTTTTTATTCAACTACTAGCAGTAGAGCCCGGCGTTGCCCGGGGATGTAACAGTAAGAGAGAGATCAAGTATCAACCATCATAAAGACTGAAAAATAAAATTGACAAAGATTATTGTTTAAGGCTGACGGACACGCATGTCTTAATTAGTTTTTTTTTTTTTTACGAATTGGTCAAACCCAAACTCAAACAAAAACATTATTTTCAATCGTTATGAGTCTACCGATTGAATAGAATTTTATTATAAACAATTGTCTTGTAAATGGAATTTTTAAAGCATTCTGAATGTAAAAAATAAAGAAAAAAGTGTGCAAGACAATAAGAAACACTACCTTCCAAAAAAAAAGTGAAGTTTTGTTGAAATCGGTTGAAAAATGTAAGAAATCCGATCCCATATATAAACGAACACACACACACACACACAAACAAACAACCTGGGTTTTATAATAAGTATAACTCGATATGAGTTGTCCTCCTTTCATTCTCGCGACAGCGATGCCTCGTAATCGTGTTTTTAAATTGATTTCGTGCAAAAACAATTGTGTTTTTGCAATTTTTGGCGCTGTCAAAACCACCGCAAGGTAATTTTACGTAATCCTATGAAGTTTTGTTGAAATCAGTTGAAAAATGTAGGAAATCCGATCCAATATATAAACGTACAGACACACACACACAACCTGTGTTCTATAATAAGTATGATTTGTGCAGCTGTTCTTTTTTCGCGAGTTCATCAGTGTTTTGTGGGACATATTAAGAGGACGCGGCACCACAGTTGAGAGTTACTGACCTAGACTATGAATTTAAGCTCAGTACTAGACTGGCAACAAGTTTGTGTCGTTATACAGTAGAATTGGCGAGATGTAACTGTAAGTCCTATGCTAACAGTTTCTTCTCTCTCAGTAACTGTTTGTGTCATACTGACTTTACTACCTTGGTTGGGATGAAATGATTAAAAAAATCTGCACGGGGACACATCCTCAAGGATGTTCTATTACTGGGTTTGATGTGGACCCAAAGTCGGGACCACGGAAGGAAAACACGGAACACGGATTAGAGGTAAGAAAGATATATTAAACAAAAAGGTTACAAAGATAGTGTAAGTGTAAGCGGAGCTTACTATGTGCTAGTGTCCAATATTGGTAGTCGTACGCGGCTGATACTACGGTATTAGAATACTCTCTCTCTCTCTCTCTCTCTCTCTCTCTCTCTCTCTCTTTCCTCCTAGACTGTTATAGCGCATACTTTATATAGTCCTGGAAGAGTCCATGTTGTAGGTATGTTACGGTCTCGCAACAGGGTTAAATAAAGGTTTCTAGTCTTCCGCATTAGAGCGCTTCACTAAGCTGACTTGACCATCGCTGATCAGATAATAGTTCACTCTTTTCCTAAGTCTTTTGAAAAAGAGCATCACTTATTTTCTGTTTAGGAATGGGTTACAGGTTACTTCTAAAATCTTCCCATTCTCTTTCATTCCCTATAGCTGCCTCGTGTCTTAGTGTCATTATCGCTTTGCTTGAGGCGAATTGATTTTATAAAATCGCCAACATATAGAGAGAATATTCTAAAGAAAGAGTAGATGTCAACTAAAGATAACACTTTCGGTTAGGGTTATCCAAATGTACCGTGTCCCTTTAAGACGTAGGCGATCATTGCCCTCCTCATCTTCTTGTCCCTTGTAGCTCTTAATAAGTTTTTTCTTTTTGTTATTTCTTCCAAACCCTGTTCTACCATTCATTTACTCATCAAGTATGTTACTCACTGCTTTCCTCTGTCCCTCTTTCCCTCATTCTATCCTGTGAGTATTAGATTTTCCCTGCCCTCTTCTTCATCTTTGAGGAGATTTTCCAACATTTGCTGTCATACAGGATGACTGATATTACGTAACAGTTCAGTACTCTTTTCTTTGTTTCTCTTGCTTCAAATCTCTTCTTCATATTTGAGGAGATTTTCCAACATCCACGGTCATACAGGATGACTGATATCACGTAACAGTTCAGTACTCTTTTCTTTGTTTCTCTTGCTTCAAATCTCTTCTTCATATTTGAGGAGATTTTCCAACATCCACTGTCATACAGGATGACTGATATCACGTAACAGATCAGTACTCTTTTCTTTGTTTCTCTTGCTTCAAGTTTCTTCTTCATCTTTGAGGATATTGTCCATTCACTGCCATATAGGAGGACAGATATCACGTAACAGTTCAGTACTCTTTTCTTTGTTTCTAACGAAATTTTTTTGTAATAGACAAATTTTAAAATATTTACGTGAAAAATCATCGATTGTTCTAGCAATGTCGTTACATTAATCTGCAAATCTGTTTATTGTTTAAGGTTCTACAAAGATTAAATGGATATCTTTTCGTTAACAACAAATACTTTTTAAAATTTAGTGAATAATGATTATTAATGAATTACTTTATTTCTTGATTATTAAAATCCCCTTGATAGTATTGTATTTACTAATGCTAATTTACTAATACTAATAGGCACAATGAATATTTTCTATGATAAATGTCGGAATAACTAATAATACCAAAGACAGTCATCTCGTCATGACATCTGATCATGCTAATTAAGACTGACGGGAGAAAGAATAAAGAATCCTATTTATCAGATATCGTCCTAGAAAGAATCCTCTTTGTCGGAAATTGGCCCAGAAAAAAGAAACAGAATTCTCAAGAGAAGGGTATAGATACATCAACTCGAAGCTATGATTGTAATACGCACAATCTTTTACTGCTCGACCCAGTATCACTTCGCATTTTATAATGAATAAAAAGCTCCGTTTTCTGTCGATACGAGTAATAAACCATTTCTTTCAATCCATTTACCTTGTCCGAATGGTGGTATATGATAGTTTACAGCAGCAGTTTGACTACAAGATTTTTTTTGTGTGTGTGTGTGTGAGTACGTCCCTTTATTTCTGCTAAAGACGTAGAAGAAGCTTCTGAAGACCTGTCACTATTTGATGCTAATGAAGAAAAGGGAGGGGAAAAAAGAGCGGGAAGAATAACTGTTTCAAAAGCTGAATTCCCCCCTTTGACACGTCTTCAAATGCTGACTATCTTTACCATGCAACGAGAAAAAGAGGAAGAGAGAGGGTTAGGATTAGGGAAGAGAGAGCATAATGAAGAAGAAAAGAGAAAAAAACGTGGAGAGTATAGTTACAAACAGAAGAAACGAGAAATGCAACGGTGCGTAAAAGAAGAAAATGAAAGAAAAAGAACGAGATAAAGAAAGAGAGAAGCAAGAAAAGAATGAATAATGAAGAAAGGTAAAGGTGAAGAAGAGAGTGAAATTGACAAAAAAAAAAAAGAAAAGAAAATGCTAAAAGCAGAAGAAGAAAAGTTGGCGAGAATATAGTTACATTTGTATTAGATTTTTCTATAAATTAAATTTTTGAACTGGTTTGATATTAACTTTTTAACAGTGAAAAACAAGCGTTTAATCACTTAAAACTGTGTTTGATCTTCGGGGAACTGTTTTTTTTTTTCATGCTATTACTTTAGTTCGATATTCCAAATAAATTTATTCATCTAAAGTCACCAGTTTGTTTCGTTTTTTCATTTCGTTATATAAAAAGAATTTAATACAGATTTTGAAAGGAGATACTGAAATATCTTCACTGACATCACTGCGTGCATATGCAAAATCGTTCAATAAACAAGAGAACACACACACACGTATGTTAAGGGGTCCACCCTTTTTTATACAAGTGGACTTGTACTGCTGCCGGTGAATACCCGGAAGAGTGATACAGTGAGAGAGTGAGAGTGTGAGGTAACAACTTTGTAGGAGTCACAGTTGCGAGCACGTAGACTCAGAAGGAAGTCCTACTTCGATACTGAATTTCCCAGACTGTATATATATTATTATTATTGCTACTAACTGCATTTCTGGATCTACTAACCGTATTACCAATTGTATTATTACGTCAATACATTTAGTTGCTATATTTCATTCCTGTATTTGTCATTCATTTGAGACCGGATTTCATCCCGGAATCCATAACAACATACTTGCTGGGGTCACCTTTTGCATAACTGCCTTTATGCACTTTTGCATATTAGAGGCCAGCTTAACACAATTAGTCAATTCGATTTTCTGCCATTCTTCATGAAGTTTGGTTTCAAATACGCGTTTTGAAGAACATTTGTGCACCCTGACTCTTGTACCTAATGGGATTCAGGTCAGGGATTGAGGAGACCACTTCAATACCCTCACTTTTTTCTTTTCAAATCAATCTTTCGAAACTCTGGATGTGTGGCATGCTGCGTTGATTACTCCATCTGGTATGTTATTGTTGAAATTTCTTTCTAATGAAGTTTGGTAACATTAGTCTAACATGCTTGTATACGTGTTGGAATTCATTCTATCCTCACATGTGAATAACATTCCTGTCTCGGACATGCAGCCCAAAACTATTACACTCCCACCACCAAATTTGACAGTTGGGGCAAAATACATTGAGCATTCGACGAACATGAACAACACCAGGGGTTCCAAAACTCTGATAAAAATTAAAATTTTAGGAATAGTTTTCTATTCAATAAAAATACAGTTATTAATAGGCGTAATAAAATCAATAATGCTCAATAAATTAGTTTCATCTCATAAAGGAACTTACTTTAAAGTTGCTTTCATCAGACCAGACAACTTGGGACCAATCTTCAGCCGTCCAATTTTCATGCTCTTTTGCAAAAGAAAGTCTCTTTTTCTTATGAATCTCAGACAGCAATGTTTTTTTTTTCTGTCTTTACATCCTTTGAGACTAGCATTATTCTCATTGTGCCAGTCGGTATCAATTTGTTTGCGGCCTCTCATAATTCAGCAGTCACATTAGAAGTGTTTTTTCCCTATCACTGAGAGATACCCTCTTTAGCAGTCTGTCTTGAGTTTGTACACCTTTCCGACCTTGACCATCACGATTTTTGAAAAAAAATGGTTTCGTTGTATCTTTTAATGGTCGTTTGTACACCAATTCTTGGCCATTTCACTTTTCTTGCAATTTTGACTTAGGATAACCATTATTGGAACAATGAAATTATTTCAGCCTTTTTAGTTCCAAGAATGTTTTTCTTCGGAGACATTTTCAACAAAGAAGAAGCACTTATAAATTGATACTAAACTTGCTACTAAAAAATTCGAAAAGGTTTAGCACCACAGATAAAATTTGAAATAAATGATTTTGACACATGCTAAATAAGTAAAAATGAATACAAATCATTATTGGTACCCATAAATGCCAGTAAAGCATCAATTAAAAAATGCCTACTATATTACTTTCAGCTAATATATGTACAAGTTTCAATCATATTTCTAACCTTTTACCCATGATCCATAATTTTGTCCATGGATATATATATATATATATATATATATATATATATATATATAAATATTATTGATTTTTTTTTTTTCGCTACACAGTTCTAACCATGTTTCAAAAATGGAAGCTGAAAGCTTCGAATTTAATTTTGTAATTAGATTAAAGACATTAATTCCATTTCATCCTCAAGCGAATTTTGGAGTAACCTTTAAAATTACTGGGTTTTAAAGTTGTATTTAAAATTGTAGTTAAATAAAACGAATTCTAACCTAAACATCTTTTAAATTTGTAGTTAAATAAAGCGTATTCTAACCTAAACACCTCCCTCAAAGTGATACAAGCACTTAAAACACCTACAGTTAGATTAAATTAATATGAAAAGCTAGAAGTTGTAAGCCATTGAATGACCCATGTCCTTTGTACTTACATGAGAAACAATATATTACTAGGTTTTATATAAAAAAATAATTGTTTACTAAATCAGTGAATTTAATTAGCTATTTTTGCCGTCATTGTCATAAATTTTACTTAAATAATATTTAAATATAAATTTTTAAAAAATTGTGACCTAGTAATATGCATACTTATACTTGATGTGAAAATAATTCTACATACTGTAAGTGATTCTAATACATTTACTTGTTCTTAAAAGAAATATAGCATATTAAAAATTTAAAAGTGAAAATATTTTTCAAATCGTAGTTAAATTAAATGTATTCTAACCTAAACACCCCCCAAAAATCTTTAAATATACAAATAGAAAAAAAATGCCGTAAGAATTTTTGCCGTTAACAATAAAATTTTTAAAAAATCCAGACGACATGCTTTTAATGGATTTCATTGAAAAATACATCCCTACCCCCTACCAAAACGTAGCTAATAACTGATACATCAAAATACAACGATAATGAACACGCAAACACCCCTTGTCTGGTTGTAGTGGATTTCTCTGTATCCTTGGAAACGTGAATTATGACTTTTTGCTGTGTCTTTCAAACCCAGTAATTTTAAAAGTTAAGAAAATTCGACAGAGGATATTTGACACAGACACTATAGTCAGTGACAGCTAAATAAATGCCTGTTAGAGACACGTACATGTGAGATACGTGTGGATCTGGTATTTACCAGGCTCCCCACGAGGCAGGATGTGCTACATGGCCAGTTTTTAGGCAAAAAACAAAGCAGTTAGCTCTACGAGATATAAGTGGAGCTAGATAATATATCTGCATGTAGGTGGCGTTAAAAGTTTAGCCAGGAACTTTCTTTTCCAAGGCACGGGGACTGACGTGCACATTCTTGCAGAAGTTATCGGGATAAAAACATAAATGTCAAAGTTCAAATGTTGCTTGTAGTTGCTGCCCGTGTTCATTTAGCATTAATGCCTTTCGGAAACTTACAAATCCGTACATCCTTGCACGGTGTTTTATCTTTTGACAGAAATTGCCAGTAAATGCCCCCAGTCATTTACAGTATTCTAGAATACTTTCGGAACATCAGTTCGCTAACAAATTCTATTACCACCTTTTTATTCGTCTTTCAGTTTCACTGAATATTCTACTCACTGTAGGTTGTTTCTGTTATTAGATCAGATGTCAATCCAGTTTTATTCTGTTGCTTTCGGGTTGGCTTACTGAATGTTATGACATATAAATTCTTGAGTTATTTTATATCGCAATCAATCTATTCTGGTATATTTGAGACTATAAGCATTTTTTGGTACGCTAATACGTAAATATTGGTTGTTTATATTTGATTCAATAATTATTTACTAGGTCAAGGATAGGTAAATATTGGTCGTTTGTACATGATGCGGCAGAAATACCTCCCACATATACCTCCCAGAAATACCTCCGACATAATGGCAAAGACATTAGCTACAAGGTGCAGCAGAATTACGCCTTACATTTTAAACTGTCATCTGTGTGGTGCTAATAAATGTAAGTGCCAATGTTGTCTTCATCAAGTTAATATCTTACCAATTTGTGGGAGGTGTTTCTGGGAGGTATATGCGGGAGGTACTTCTGCCGTACCAAGTATTTGGATCTTTTAGCCTTTAATTAAATATTAGTCGTTTGTATTTGAATCTCTAAACATTTATTTGGTTTTGGGATAGGTAAGTACCGTGTAACCCGGATATAAGAGAAACTCAGATATAAGAGAGATTTTCTCTGGTCCCAAATTAGAGCCTGTGTTAATGTATATAAAATAGACCAAACCCGGATATAAGAGAAACCTGGATGTAAGAGACTTCTTTTCCGGTCCCGTCAACTCTCTTATATCCGGGTTACACTGAAGTAATTTACATTTGAGTCTATAAGCATTTACTTCATTCGGAGCTAGATATATAAATTAGTCTTATATTTTTGAGATGAGGAATTATTATAATTATGTACTTTGCTTTTCGATCCAACATATCTATCTTGATTTTTATATTCACAAAGTTTTGATTATGTCCTGTCATGGTCACTGTCATTTTTGTCGCTTGTTTATTTCTCTCACATAGCCAAAGTATTTTTTCCATTTTTACCAGACCCAGAGATTGAACTCACAACTGCCAGGGGACTAATTATATTTTATCCAATGCTTTAATGCATAAGGCCATGTGTTTTATTCACTTGTTAGTAAATTAACTATTAGAGAAAGTACAACAAAATTCAGGCCATCTGACCTAGTTTCCACCACTACCTTCGAAGTGGAACTTTCCTTGATATTTACACATTGGCTCACAAAGAGGTTTTCGGACAAAAGTCTATACTACATAGTATATGTGATGCTCAAATGTCTTGAGAAATACGGTAAGTCTGTAATTAAACATAAATCTCTTACCTGAATTCTGATCTGAAATTCTCACTGTATAATGATCATCACGTAATTAATTGCATTGACAAAGAAGGAAATAATATTAAAAGATAAATCTTTATTATGTAAATTGTATATTGATCGTTTATTTATTTTGTTTAATTTTAATTTTTGTGTGTTTGGATCACGATTTATCATT